CCAACTGGGTACCTCCGTTGAAGGATGCTCCTAGCGTTTCCTGAGGACTCCAAGCACTCTGGCAGACACCACAATCACCGAACCGGAGAAGCATATGAGTACTTTTAAGCATATGAATGTTGTATACAGCCGAATAGGAAAAAACATGTGAATAGGTTTACACTCCTAGCAGTCAAACTGGAACAGCATACAATAAATCCTCCCCCAATAATGAGACTACACTTCACTTTGAGGGTTAAGCAGAACTGGTTTACTGGGGCTAACTGCCCGGCTTTTATGCAGGTCTCCCACCTGGTGGACACTCCCCTAGGGGACCAAATGGGAAACTTGGAAACATATTGGCTCTTAGCCAATCACAGACATACACCCTTAACACTCCCACAATTACATCACAATCCCTCCTCTCTGTCCTGGAGATAATTGGGGAAGTAATCCACTTATCTCCCAGGATAGAGGCAAAACTCCATTAATCTCATGGCAGTAACAATACAGTAAAATACATAAAATTACATACAGTCACATTTATTACCTAAAACATATACATTCTACATATCCCCAGATAGCTTAGATCTGAGTGCACATTACTACCGAATGGCGCTCAGATCACATACATACAGTTCAATCGCCATGGAGCCAAAGTCTTTCCCATAGTCTTTCGTTACACGAATAGGCTCCATGGCTTAGCTATCTGAGGGATGCTGTTCATCTGGCGAAACTACCGAATGAACAATCATTCGGTTCTGCTTACCGAATGGGAAGGTAAGGAGGCTGGCGGCTCAGCGGTGTTCGAGCCAATAAGTGTCCGTTTTCAGTTCCATAGTTTGGGCGCTGAACACCGCTGGCCGTTCGGGAGGTAAAATGGCCGCTGCCACGTGTTTGGCAGACGAACAAAGGCCACCCAGCGTTCATCAATTAAGCTGCGGTTAAATCTGAATCTACCGAACACCCTGGCAGAAAGGCACGAATAAACCTATCAGCAGGGAGAATAACAGCTCTGAACTGCAGGGCCATAATCTAAAGGGAGCAGGCGAGCAACCAGGCTTCTCCAGTGCACAGTGGCGAGGTTGGTTCCGCCACATTTATAACATGTTTTTTATTAGTTTTTTTAAACCTTTTTTTTTATAATTTTTCTTTTTTACTTTTCACCCCAATAGCCTAACATTAAATTTCACAATTTCCCACCAACTACCACACAGCCCAGCAAACATAAATCACCAATTTAAAAATAATAACGTAAAACATTTAAAAGAAATAAAATAAATGCAACCACTGAGGGTTAAAACAAAGTTAACCCCTAAGGGTAAGAATAACAGATCGCAGTAAATTACTGTGAACTGTATTCTGATAACTGCATGCAGTGATCAAAGGGCAGGGAAATGGTTATTATTATTATTTTTTTTTAAAGAACAGGATAAATGACTAATGGTCTGTTTCAAACCAGAAAGCCCTCTAGTAACTGTCTGGTAGACAGACACTAGAGGCTTACTTAGCGCTTCTCTTGAAATGCAATGGTTAAAATAACTTTTTGAATGGTAAAGGAGAGGTTATTCCCTCGTGTGATGACGGACAATGCCAGTTCCTTTCATCGACCAATGAATTTAATGTTGTTAAAGTTATCTGCAGAGGTTACATCCAACAAACAAAATTCAACCATCAATTAAAAACTACAGTCAAATTAAAGACTTTTTTTCCAGAGTCCATTATTTCAGTCTAGATTTTTCAGCCTAGTGTTCAGTTGAGCACTCTTGCTGTTGTGATGTTAAACACTAGATGTGTTTGCTGGCTTTGACAAATCAAAATGCAAAGCAGAAACCCTAAAATTCTAACAAACTACTTTAAAGGAACACTAAAGTCACCCAGACTACTAAAACCCAATGAAGTGGTCTGGGTGCAGTGGTCCAGTCAGTTTAACCCTGCAATTTAAAACATTTATGTTTTGTAGACAATGTTTACATGGATGGGTTTAATATATTTCTAATGGCTGTCTTCCCGCTAGCCACTAGAGGTGCTCCTGCCTCCAGCACCTAGTCAAATTTGACTCTTCAATCAAATGCTGCTCTTAGCAGTGTTTGATTGCCGAACCGCAGTGTTTGGCCGTGCAATTATATCTCGTCCCCTAATGCATCTCTACAAGAAGAACTGGATTGGACAAAATGAGGGGAGACATCAGCTACATGCTGACATCTTCAGGGCAGAGCAGTGCTGAAAAAGAGGCTAGTAAATTTAATTAGACTTTAATTTTAAACGGGAATGTGGATGGACAGTGGAAACAGTAACAGAAAATGATTGTTACATTCGGGACTACTTTTCTTCTGAATTGTCCTTGTCTACTGCAGACCCTTGAACTTCTAGGTAAGTGACTTTTTTGGTTACTCTAAGCATTCTTTTTATGAAACCAGAATTGTCATCTTCTCTCATACATATGCCCAAGTGACATGAATTTGAAAGACAAGCTCTCACAGTGATTAGATAATATGCCATAGAATAAGTAGACTTATGTTTGTGAAACATGTAACCTTTCTATCCACATCCCTGGTTAGCTTCTAGATCAACAATTCAAGAACCTGCTGGCCTAGTAAAGTCTTGTCATCAGAGAAGAATTAAGATCCCACATGGTAGTGGCAGATAACCGGTTTGGGCCACCCGTCATTCTTCATATAGCGATTGTTAATGGCAGTAGTGGAAGTACCATCAGTGCAGCCGATGACGTTGCACCAAGGCCCACACGCATAGCGGTCCCATGAGATGGCCCATGCACTTAGGGCCACCCAATTGGCATGAGTCATCAGGAGACAGGACCTATGTTGCAGCCCTTAAACAGCGTAAACTGGGCCCCTCTATTAATGGCATCGCTGGGAGGAAGTGAGAGTCTTTAACTTCCTCCCAGATAGAGCGCCTGCACAAGGAGTAGGCAGAAAGCAGAAGGAGCAAAATGCAAGAGACAGCCTCTGACTCCCAGCAGGCTTAGTCAGCAGACTGGATTCCATGGAAGCAACCCTTCTGCATCCAAAAGGTAACAAATTGGAGGGTGGCAAAATAAGTGTACATTTTTACCAGCATGTGTGTCTGTATGTCTGTGTATCTTTATGTGTCTTTATGTGTCCGCGTGTGTGTCTGTGTATCTGTATGTATGTCAGTGTGTATCTGCATGTGTGTATCTGCAAGCGTATCAGTGTGTATATCTGTATGTGTGCCAGTGTTTGCATCTGTGTATCTGCATGTGTATCTTTATATCCGTTTGTGTGTCAGTGTCTGTATATGTGTGTCAGTGTATGTATCTGTAAGTATGTTATGTGTGTTTGTGGCAGTATGTGTGCATACATCACATTCCTGCACACAAGTAATCCACTGCATTGAAACGTGAACACTATATGCGAACACATCCCTGAATTCAATCATTAACACTACATACAAAAACACATCTGTATTAAAACACCCTGTAACGGAACCGCTGCCACCCGGACTGGGTACCTTCCGCTGACGGATGCTCCTAGTGCTTTCTAAAGTCTCCAAGCACTCCGTCTGACACCATAACCACTGCAGACCCCACGAACCGCCGCAGCTTGGTTGGGTTCTCGCCGTCTCCACCCACTCTGGACCCAAGACAAGGGTCCAGCTTCCAGTAGGTCGACCTCTCCGAATTCCAGAGAGCAGGAACAGGAACAAGCTCTTAGCAGAGCTTAGTGATTATACCCTGGGGAGTATAGTGATTATAGCAATCCCCAGAGTGTAGTTCTCCAATCCCCCAAACATGAGCCTAAACTTCATGGAGGTACAAGATGATCTGACTCCAATGAGCGTTTATTACTGCTTATATACAAGTTTTCAGGTTAGAGGCACACCCCCTGGACCTGGTGGTAAACTGTGACAAAAGGGACACAAACCAATGGGAACACTAATTAACATAATAACACTCTCACATACACAATGAAATCCCTCCTCTCCATCCTGGAGATAATTGGCTTAAGGCACTGCAGTAAACTCAATTATCTCCAGGTACAGAAAATATCTACATTTTACACTAACAGCAAAAATACGTAAAAGTACATAAAAATTACATAAAATACATAATTCTTATTATATTACACAGAACCCCCACATTTAACCTATCCCCAGATAGCTCAGATCTGAGCGCCCAATCTAGGTGAACAGCGCTCAGATCCCATGAACAAAGTAAATTTGCCATGGGGGTTAGAGTTTTGGGGAAGCCTCTTTTGACCGACCGCATGCAGGATTTCCTGCCCAAAACAGTTCCACGGAGTTTGGCTGTGCGGCCGGTCTATTTCCAATGGTAAAGTCAGTTCACATAGAAAAAACGACTAAGTCCCATTCGAATGCACGAACAGGCCCCGTTCGTGAAAATAGCACAGCGTAACATGGCGTTCAAATTGTTTGTCACCTAAAAATCCAGTGACAAAAGGCAGTCTGTCACACACCCAATTTATATGTAAGCACACCCCTGCATTCAAACACCAACAATATACACAAATGCATGCATGCACTCAAATGCCAACACTACATACAAACACACCCCTAAATTCACACACTCATACTCCATACAAAACATGCTTACATTCAAACACACAAACACTGCTCAGTGCTAAGTACAACCCTGCCAGGATGGGCAAATGGTACATCACCAGCTGTTATAGTATTGTGGGAGTTGTACGATAGATAGGGATCAACCTTTTGTCCACTCCTAAATAGGGGGCCCAATAAAACTCTTGCACCAAGGCCCTCTCTATGTTAGTTCCACCAGTGCTTAATGGGACAAGGCAAATGAATGATTCAAGGGCCCCTGTCTAATCACAGGCCCTCTGCAGCTGCCTTGGGTGACCTTAAGGTTAGTGCTGCTCTACCTGTCAGCCATGCACCAATGACGTAATCGGAGCACTCTATACACAGTGCACCGGCAAGGCGTCTGGGGAAGATTCTTACTTTGCTACAATGGGAAGAAAGGAATTTGGTCCTCTAGACCAGTGTTCTCCAACCCAGTCCTCATGGATCACCAACAGTCCAGGTTTTGTCAGTATCTCCATTGGAATAAAACAGGGAAATACATAAATCCTGGACTGTTGGTGGTCCATGAGGACTGGGTTGGAGAACACGGCTCTAGACTGTAAGCTTGTTTGAGCAGGGTCCTCATCTCCCTTTTGTTCCTGTGTCACTGTGTAATTGTCTAATTTATTGTACATTACCCCCCCTTTCATAATATTGCCGCGGAATTAGTTGGCGCCATATAAATACCAATAATAATAATAATAATAAATATTTTAATATAGTACTAGAAGAGCTACAAGTCAGGAAGCAGTCTCTCTCGTTCCTGTATGCCTAACATATTAAAATGTGTTTCTAATGGAATCAATCATGGTATCGCCAGGACCGGGACAGGAAACAGAGCTTAGTGTGCCGGAACCTTCTCACACTGGCTGCGCTCAGACTTTCCAGACGTTGCTTTAATAGCCGAGAAAAGAAGAATTACAGCGCCCGTTATCATAATAGACTGGAAGGGGAGTTTGTGTGAATTAGTGTAACTAGCACCAAACACAGTGCACCGGCAGGCCGTCTGGGGAGGATTTGCACTTTGCTACAATGGGAAGAAAGGAATTTGGATTTATAAAGCGTTCTACATGCAAACTGTATCCTCAAGGAGATTTATAGACGTGAAAACCTCGCCTCTGGTGTGGAACACTGAGCGTACTAGCAGCCATCACTTATTGTGCGACATGTCCTATCAGGCTGAAAATGGCTTTCACTAAATTAGAAGCAGGATCTATTTATCAGGGATCACAAACAAACTGATACAAAATGTGACATTTTGCTTTGTGATGAATTAGAATAGAAGCCTCACATTTTTCACATAGCCAGGAACAAAAGTCTCATTTTTCAGACATGACACATTTTGAGGGCTGCAGACAAAGGCCGATGCTATTGTTAAAACACGAAGCTTTAAAATAGTGCTTCCTCTTTCACCCAGAACAATCATGGTTGTAAATGCATTCAGTTAAACTGTGACAGGGCCTTTTTTTCTTGTTACATTTTTGCAGCTGAGATGCGGACGACTTACCAGTCAATAACTAAAACTAACGACAGGAGAAGTGACTTTTTATAGCTTTGCTACTATTAGTAGAAAAAAGTGATTTTTAATGAGACTGCAATAAATAATTATGTTTGAAGGAACATCACAGGGGTTATGGTGCCAGTTATCAGGACTGTGCAGGTGACTCCCAGGCAAACAATTTTAGAACAGGTTGACATTTTATCTTGGGGTCCACTGAGCTCCCCTTCCCACCTTCACTACTGCCAACAATGAGCCAGGTACTTGGGATTAGCTCATTAATATTATTAATAAAGCACCAACAAATTCCGTTGCGCTGTACAATCGGTAGACTAATAGACAAGTATTTGCAACAAGACAAGTCGAACATCCAGGAACAGAGAGTATTGTGGGGGGATGTGACACACGATGTAAGGATAGGATACATTTCATGTATGGGGAAGGTAGGTTGCTAGAAGAGTTTATGATTTATTTCTTTTTTTTGGATGACACATTTGCAGGGGGGGAAGCAAGGTGGGTAAGCAAAGTCTGTGGAGGGAAAGCTATTTTTTGTGAGAATGGAGACTAACAGAGCAGGGAAGGGCGTTCCACAGGGACAGTGCAGTGCAGCCATAGAGAAGGTCCTGAAGGTGGGTATCAGAGGTGTGAGTACAAATAGAGGATATCCGCAGGTCTTCGGCAGAGCGTAGGGGTCTAGATGAGACATTCTTGTGTATTAGCGAAGATAGGTAGGTATTTGGATGAGAGCTATAACTTAATGCAGAGGGAGAGAGGGAGCGCGATATAGCGATATAAAGTATAGGGAGTGTATATCGCTCTGTAAATATACGCAGAGTTAAAATAATGTTAGAAGTGGTTAGGGTAAAGGGGAAGTTTAAGGTTAGAGAGGGGTTAATGTCAGAATCAGTTTACATTGGGTAAATAAAAGCGGGGTTAAAGCTGTGATTTAAAAGGTGTTATGGGGTTTTAGATTTGGAGTGGGGTTCAGTTAAGTAATGGGGTACATGGTGTGTTTAGGATTAAGTTTAGGGTTACAGTTGGGTTAAATTCAGTAATGGGGTATATGGGATGTACTTTTTAAGAGACGTTTAGACCAGGATTGTCTGCACTTACAATTTCACTATTATCAGACAGATAATCGTGCTACGGGCACTTACCTACAGTAATCTTTTTATGCTTACAGCTATATTTAAATAAGAAACTGGTTATGCTGCCCCAATGACCTATTACACTATTACATCAGGAGTTGCTGACCACCTGTACGTTGGAACCTAGTGTCGGCCTCTCTGATATATTTCAGTTACAATTGTCTAGAACGTGATGTGGGTAAATTCACCTATGGAATCATTATCAGTCTAGAACAGGGGTTCCCAACCCAGTCCTTAGTACCCCATACCAGTCCAGGGTTTAGGAATTACTCTGTTGTGTTAACAGTGTTTTTTTCTAAAAAACAAAACAAAAAAAAACCACCTTGGACACAATTTGGTAATCCCTAAATCCTGGGCTGTTAGGGGATACTTAGAGACTGCGTTGGAAACCACTTATCTAGAACACGATGTTCCTTGATTTGAACTACTATAAGACTTGATTCTAATTCTTTATTGTAATGTCTCCTCCAAACACCTCAATGGCATCACACAACTGGCTTAAAAGGTTTCTCCAACAAAAAACAGTGTTTTAACAAAACAAGTAGATAAGAGAAGAGTAATATTTGCCCCCACACAAAAGTAAACAAATAAACAGACTCCACGCACCAAAACCACACAAACCATTGAAATGAGAAAAGAGAAAAAGCTGAGAAAGAAAATCAGGAAAAAGAGAAGTGAATAGAAAGGGAAAGGTGTGTGAGATTTTGGAGGTGAAAGTATGAATCTGGTTTACACGGCGGTAAAAATGACTCATAATATGGTTTTATTTAAACATGTGCTGGAATGTGTATTATAAATGAGAAGTGAGAGGCTGACAAGTCTTCTGTGTGCGGGTCGTGACACAATAAAGAGCGAGGAAAACAATTAGTTCACTTCAGCCGATGTTGCCAAGTTTTAAACATTAGCTGGGGGGAAGCTTCCTTCGCTGAAGTTAAGATGAATTCATGTGCTGATAAAACAAACCCTTCCTGAAATTAAAATATCCTCTGGCAGGAGCTCAATGCTCACAAATGCCAAATCAACCCACTGTTATTGCCGTAGCCAAAGGGTTAAAGCTGTCTTTATCTTTAGGTAATTATGGGATCATTAACCCTTCATTCATTTTGGTCTTGAACATGATAGACTCTATATACTGTGGACTACGTCTCCCAACATGCTTTGCAAGTTTAGCTGCTCGTATATAATCAACGGAGACCTAACTGTCACTATGTCTGTGTATGTACATACATACGGCGGAGATAGTCTATCAGTCGGTTAAATACAGCTAACACGTTGTTATGTGTCCAGAAGGGGCTCAAATCAAAGCGTGCAAAGCATCCAGAAGACATAATCACACATAAGCACACTCTAACGTTAGGTCAAGTTCTTTAGGGTTTCAGTATTACTAATAAATACATGAATAATTGATGGATAATAGGTCAAATATAGATCATAAATATTTATTTTTGTAAATATTCCTCATATAATATAATAAAAAAAAAACCATTTCTTGCGTGTACAGAGGGCCACGGCTGGTGGAGGATCCCTCACAGGTTTACCCATTCTCCTCTTGTGGGGGCTGGAGGGCAGGACCTAGACTAGACAAACCGTAATACATCTCCCTTGTCTTCACTGTAGCCTCTACCCCCCCAGCCCCCCCACTAAAGCCCATATTCCTTCACTACAGTCCAAAATTCAACATAAGAAGCCTGTCTTACACACAAACAACACAAGCAGCCTCCCCAAACACTCACACTCTGTCCCAGTCCTGCCCCACGTATCATCATACAACCACCCACTTAGTCATATTCACCATTAAATCATTGCCCAAACTAGGCATATAAGTTTGCATGTGTATGTACATATATATATATTTAGGGGGCAGCATTGCAGAAACTGTCCTTGGGTCAGCAAAAAGGGTAAATACAGCCGTGGGTGTGCATCTTTCTAAAATGGGATTTCTACATCAGAGTACATGAATTAAGCAACCACAATAGTGTTAATGGATTTCTAAAATTGTTAATTGTTGGAAAAATTCACAAGGAGGAAAATATAGTCAACAAAAATGTAACTATTTTAACACTTCTGTTAGTCTTACATTAAGTGATATTTCAAAAATCCAAGCAAGAGACAGCATTGGCTACCAAAAAAAGCAAAAACCAATCCCTGTAATCATTGTTACTTCTTGTTTTCTTACTTTGTATTAAGGGAACACTAACAGCACCATAACCACTACTGCTAGCTGTAGTGACTATGGTTCCAGGAGTGTGGTAGCACCCTCATCTTGTAAGTATACAATTTTTGAATGGTTTGACTTCTTACTAGGTGTACATTGGGTGCTGCTCCCTGGTCCACGGGCAGGCTGGGACGGGGGGCAATTGCCCCCCAGGCTGCCCTAAATCCAGGGCCGTCCGCATCCAGCAAAAAAAGGAAAAATCTGAATCCCCTGCTTCTGGCTCTGGCCCTGCCTCTGGCTCCACTCTGCCTCTGGCTCTGGCCCTGCCTCTGGTTCTGGCCCTGCCTCTGGCTCCGGCCCTGCCTCTGGCTCTGGCTCTGGCCCTGCCTTTGGCTCTGGCCCTGCCTCTGGCTCTGGCCCTGGCTCTGGTTCCGGCCCTGCCTCTGGCTCCGGCTCTGCCTCTGGCTTGGTCCCTGCCTCTGGCTCTGGCCCTGGCTCTGGCTCCTGCCCTGCCTCTGGCTCTGGCTCTGGCCCTGTCTTTGGCTACGGCCCTGCCTCTGGCTCTGGCCCTGCCTCTGGCTCTGGCCCTGGCTCTGGCCCTGCCTCTGGCTCCGGCACTCCCTCTGGCTCTGGCCCTGCCTCTGGCTCTGGCTCTGGCCCTGGCTCTGGCCCTGCCTCTGGCTCCGGCACTGCCTCTGGCTCTGGCCCTGCCTCTGGCTCTGGCCCTGCCTTT